TAGGAAACGGATGATTCATATGAATCAGAAATAGGTAGAGAAGATAATTATGACCAACTACAAGCTTTGTTTGCTTCGTTGATTGGTCATATATCATCTGAAAATATTCAAGAAATATGGAAAGTAACTAGGCATCGGTCCTTATAAACAATGCCCCAATATGTAATTTTGCTTGATGATGGATCCCACCTATACACTTGTCTTTGGCTTATTAATCGGAGCATTGTCTGTAGACATTTTTTTAGGGTCATGTCTTACTCTAAGAATGCATGTTTTTATATTACCCTTATTCCATATCAGTGGTATAATAACAAGAAAGCTGAGATCGACCAACAAATTTATTCTTCAGTTCCAATGTATCAAATTGTTGGAAATATACTGAATCTGATTCCTCCTAAACCTTTATTATTTAATTATCTTTCAGATATTAGAAAACCATCTCATGTTGAACAAGGGAGGAGTCCTAAACAGAAGTATGGTTTTAAAATTGGCTATGCTAAAAAAGCTTTAGACTATACAATTCAAGCAGATAAAGTTGATGAGTTCGTCAATTATTTAGAAAGATTCATTGAAGATACGAAAAATGAATTAGATAAACGCCAAGATGTTATGAACATTGAAAATCTAATTGTCATTGATCCAATCCGTGTGCAACATAAGGGGCGTCAACCAAATCAATATAAATCAGGAGGTGAAGTGCCATCTAAGAGAAAAGTACTTAACACCACAAATACAAACAATCAAGTCTCAAATGACAATGGGATTCCCCAAAGTTCTGGAAGCGGTGGCGGTAGTACAAAGCGAGTAAGACATTGTCAAAAATATAAAAAAGTTGGTTATTATGCCCTGCGTTATCCAAATTTGTGATTTGCAATAATGTATCGTATGTACGTACTGTATGTATTCACATATTTAACGGTATATAATTAGTTTGTTGTTGGTTAGTTTTATACAAATGTGTACTGTAAAGGATCACCAAATTTCACACTCATGCAACTGAAGATTTAAGTTAGATTATACTAGAGTTAACATTTATGTATAGTGATAGTTAAATAAATTTAAGATTTGCGAAGAGTAATATAATCGTGCTACAAAAAATTGTTAGTCTTTGATATCTAAACTAATCAGTTCAAAAATTGGCTAGAAGCTAATGTTGAAAGAAACTGATTCTAGCATTAATTTGCAAATTTGCCTTTGAAGACTATCTGCTGTAGAATGTAATGTAACTTTAAAATGATTGGCCCAAGTGTCACAAGACTAAAAAATTTTTGTAGGACGTAATTATAACTAAATTGCATATCACGTGATTGCGTTATTAATTTATTATTATAAAATCGATTGCGCAATTTTATTGGTCAATATATAATTAGTGTAACCGAGTTATTTAACCAGAGAGGCAAGTTAGCAACGCTCTATATATATATATATATATATTTTTTTTTTTTTTTTTTTTTTTATATAATGCCATAATAGAAACTTTATTATAAATAGAAAAATAATTCTAAAAGATTTCTAACTACATTTGTGTTATATAAAGCACCCAATATGACATTACACCTCCTATTTTCTATGAAATGCTATAGTTAATTATTTCAAACTAATTTTTAGCTAGGATAGGTTGGAGAAGACCTAATATTTTTTAAATTTATAACTAATATTATTAATAATTATTTAGGAAAGTAGCAGATATTACATAATATCAATAGAGAAGAGGAGACGTCAGAGAGATCTGATATAGTACATAATATATATATATTATTTTAATTTTAATTGGCTTATACCATATATTGCTACACTGAAAATAAGCTACTTTTCTTTTTCAGACAAGAAAAGTAAAAGTCTTTTACCTGAAAGAAGCTATCTCATAAATGATAAGCATTACTACATAGTAAAGTCAAAATTTTGCTAAGTAAATCGATCTACCTTATTAAGTAGAAGATATTCAAGAGATCAATATGCATATATTCTAAAAATTTCATATAAATTAGACAACATTTTATTAATTGGCTTTTGTATATTACATTTAATAAAAATTTAAAATTTCTTTAAAATTTATATTTATTGAGCGTAAAACTCAAAATTTAATTAATAAAATATTATCTGATTTATATAAAATTTTTAAAATATATGCAATTTGATATTCTGTTATAGAACAGTTTTATTTTATTAGTTTATTATTTTATCTTAGTATTATTTTATTATTTTGATATTTGTATTTT